AGTCTTAGTGGATTAAGGAGTTGGGACCCAATTCCAGACTAAAAAAATACTATAAAACCATGGTGTCAAATTATGATATTAAAAATAAGCGTCAAAAACATGTGGGAAAAAATGAAAGACAAAACTAAACTTACTCGAGACATAGTTACGCTCTTGAAATCGCTCGTGAATGGATCATCGAGCACATGTTTGGCGCAATCTAGGGCAAGTTTGTTCAGAATTTCTTCATCAGATTCTCTCTGGACATTGTTTTGACATTGAATTGATGATGAAGTTAAAAAAATTGCCATTGATGATGAGGAAAAATAATTAGTTGTAAAGTTTCTTTTCCTGGCCATTCTTAAATAATTCCAAATCTGGATTATATATAGAGTACAATGTATGGGGTTGGTTGATGTAGTATGCATACAAAGTTGATGACTAATTAAGTGCATGTCTAGATTCCCTAAATTTGATTAAAGAAATATATTAATATTAGTTTCATTATGAATAATACGACACTCGAGTCATTTTTAAGTTTTACAATGCTCCATTAAGCCTTTGTATGGTTCTTACCCTCGTAACTCTCATTTGTTCAAATTATTTTTGCTCATCTTTTTCGTTGTTATGCTACAATAAATATTATAGCATAACGGGAGACCAAGAGTGGTGTTAGAGGATAGGAATCACCTCAAGTACGTGTCATAATATAACACTAGTCTTTGGTGTTAATTTGAAGAACCTTAATCTTTAAGGAATACTTATAGTAATGCAATAATTAAGATGATATGCATTATATTAATTTTATGTTTATTGGTCATTAATAAATTGGTCAAATCAATTACGATGTACAAATTAAATGCGTGAAATATCTGTTTTAATCACTGCTCGAAAACGGGTTATGTACAGTGGTCCTGAAAATTTTCGCCAACAATAAGTGGTAAGGTTAGGCCATGTTCTACTCAACTTATCTTTTTTTACTTATTACTTATTCTTATTAGAATCAGATCAAATCAGACTAGATTAAATTAGATTAGAAACATATATAAATATTTGCATTCAGATCAAATCATATCATAACCATTCAGATCAGTTGAAGAGAACATGACCTTATTCTTTAAATGATAGGTTTTAAATGTAGACTCAATATTGAGATTAGGAGCCGTAGTGTGAGGTTACACTTAGTACGGGCGATTCAGGTCCAGTCCAACTTATATCTACCTCACCTCATTTATATGCCCCTCACTAAGTCTTGTTCGGTTTCCTCCATTTTCATAAGACTTTGACCTCATCTATTTATGTCTTGTTTAGAATAACGTTATCATTTAGGGTTCATTTGGTGAGTTTTGGAAATATGATAAGATATGAGTTATGAAATCTAGAAAAAATGATATGAATTTTGAAATCTGAAAAGAATTTGTTTGGAGAGATTTAAAATCATGATTTAATTAGTGATAAGCGGGGGTGACCGACAATGGTGGTGGTTGGTTGTGACAATGGTAGCCGGTGGCGAGAAATGGCCTACGGTTGAGAGAGATATCAAACCTCCATATTGATATCTCTCAAATTCAAGAGATATTGAAACCCTCTATTTGAAGAACTCTCTTACTTCACCAAACACCAAAAAAGGATTCTAATATTCAGAGAGGTCAAAACTCATATCTTCTTTACTCATCAAACACACCCTTAGTGTTGTAGATAATTTTTTTAATGGTACAAATTATGAAATTAACATTGAAAATATTAAAGATAAACACTGAAATTGTTGCTAAATCTACCCTTAGCTTAGTACTTAAAATGTACTTTATCTCATATTGCAAAAGTTTGGAACTTGCCTCTTTTGGATATGTCTTCAACCTTGCCTCTAAATTGCAAAAGTTTGATGGGCAAGATTGACTTTTTGTCATTTTAAATGAAACTTTTTATTAATGATACTAGGATTCTCAATCCAAACAACTAGCAATGTGATGTAATGGATTATATAATAGGATATTTTATATTTATTAGTTATTTATTATTATTATCATTATCATTATTATTATTGTAAGCTAATTTTTATTAGGTGAGCAAAATTATAGGCTCTTTCGATGTTTCTGTATGGTTCTTTTCCTCGTTGCTTATATTGAACCGTCAGGTTAGGTTTTCTATAAGATCCAGGGTTTCTTCCTCTACCATAAATAGAGATGTAATCTCATTTAGAATGATCAATCAATAAACAAATCACAAACCACAATCATTTCTCCTCTCTCGGTTCGTCGTCGATCCCCTTCTCTTCTCAAATCTTCTTCTTCTTCCTCATCTCGTGTTCTTAAGAGCATGAAGACGCTATGAGTTTTCCCTATCTGATACGTGTTCGTATCGTTGGTGCTTTTATTGATTTGAATACTAAAAAACCAATAACCCCACAAGAAAATTGACTCGCTGCAACCCTTGTCGGCGATGCCGAACTTTGCAGTCACGAGATTCGTTATTGCCGAATTGTTGTTTCCGCCGAGGAATTGCTCAAGGCACTCCCTGTTGCACTAGGTTCACTCCGATCATTCGTATTTTGTGTGATTTGAACAACCAGCAGATCAATAATAACAAAAGAGAAGGTTATTTTGCTCCAATTTTGGCTGCCTCCATGGCTCTTGATAAAAAAACGAAAGAGCACTGAGTGAATACTTCAATTTGCTACCAAACCTTTATAATTTGTGGTAACAAAAGTTTTGGGAGAAACCACTTGGTTCTCATCACCAGGAAGCCTTCATAATCTATCAAGTTACAAATATAGTGCATATATTTTGCCATTAGTATGATTTTCAATATTTAAACGGAGGGTGGACTAAATTATCAGAAGTGGCTGTTAGTTAAGTAGCACAATTGTGATTGTTAATCTCGGGCAGTAAGAAATTGGTTTTTGAAAGTGATTGTTACGGGGTATAACTTTAAGCATATCTTTTTGTTCCAAATCTGCTTTTGGAATTGGGGTTGTTATCCGTCTTGCCACAACTATGGTCTTGATTTTTGATAAGCTTCTTGTGACAATGGACGATGTTTTGGACAAACTCTTGGTTTGTTGATGAATATCTTTTATGGAAAAGTTGAGTTTCACAAAGGAGTCGGTATAGCTTATCATCACGTATATGAAATTATGAACACACTCCACTTGTTTCGTCATCTTTTAGATCTATAATATTCTGGTTCTGATTTATATGTGATTGACGTAAAAATATCGTGCGCTTTACAAAATTTGGTGTGTGGTCCCCTAGTCATATTGAGTCAGATTCCTATGGAGTTGGAAAGTTTCAAAACAAAAATAATAGACGATATAAGGAATCTTTTCGGCACTTCAATTATTCCACCAGGCCCCTACAACCATTCTACACAACCCCTCATCTTCTAGCATGTTGGTTGAGCGCACTGTTGTTGATTCAATGAATGTTCTCAAAGTTGATGATGTTTTTGCCGTTAATGATGTTGTTAATGCCTTTCCATCTAATCTTGTCACTGTTGATACACATGTAGTTGCATCGAGTAATGGTTACATTGCAAAGAATCAAACATTGAGCAATGTCATTATCGCATACAGTCCTATGCCTCCGTCCAAAACAACCCAAATAACAGATGCAAATTATACGCAAGCGGACATCTCACTGTCATTTGATATCATCCACTTGTCTAGCTATGCGAATATTGTAGACTCCGAGTATTGGGTTTCACCGCATGTAGCTATGCTTGTATTTGCTCTTCTCTCTTATTATATCCATCACTATAATCCAATCTGCAAGCTTAACGAAGATCTGTCATCAAGTGACCATAATCTTTGGGTCAACATTTTCTCTCGAGTCTAGAAGCATGAGTGAGACTCTCTACCTTGAGGACAAGGTGGTTTTTATATGATACTTGATTATATATTTATTATTTATTTATAATAATAATAATAATAATAATAATAATAATATTGTAATCTAGATTTTATTAGATGAACGAAATTATAAGCTACTTCGAGGTTTTTTTACAGTTCTTTCTCTCGTCGCTTTTATTGAACCACCAGGTTAGATTTTTTTCTATTAGAGCTAGGATTTCTTCCTCTACTATAAATAGAGATGTAATCTCATTTAGAATGATCAATCAATAAACAAATCACAAACCTTAATCCTTTCTCCTCTCTCGGTTCACCGATTCCCTTCTCTTCTCAAATCAATCTTCTTTTTCCTCCTCGTCTCATGTTCTTAGGAACTTGAAGACGCTCTAAGTTTTCCCTATCTGCTACGTGTTTGTATCAATTTAGGAGCTAATTAAACAACACAAGCCATTGCTAAGTGCTAACAACAACCACGTACCAATCCTTTTGACCACGAATGAGTTCATACTTTCTCAACTATCGCATGATAATGTGTCGATTCACAATGAGGTTCGATGTGTGGTGAGAAAACATGTAAAAATTAGGTTGGAATGACTATGAGTATCTATTTTTAAACTTAAACAATAATGATGCAAGACCCGTTCAAAAGTGGGGGCCGGGTTGTATTTTGGATCTGATCGAGATGTTATATTTCAAATTTTTCTAAGATCCGACGACAACAACGAGGTTTTGGATCAAGTTGAGGTTTTGTATCACTCAACAGTCTACAACACTAATTTTTTAGAACTCGCTAGAATATTTTTGTATTGCAAATGTTTGAGCGGCACTCCTAATTAGTGTTCGATAATTGACTATTATTTTTTCCCAAAACGACACCACAAAAGAGTGAGATAAATATCTGAAAAGTGTGTAACCATTATATTTTTAATAACAAAATTTCAAATATTAAAATCTAAAAAAGTTGGAGAAATGGAAAAAATACCTCAAATAATGTTTCATTTTATTTGTTTGGGCAAAATAATTTTGATTGTTTTTAAAAAAAATTCGTTAGATACCCATTACTTTAAAAGAAAAAGTGATAGTGAAAAATTAGAAAAAGTAAAAACTAAAATTAATTTTGGAATATAGGTTGGATTATTTGACTAACAATATCAAGAGTTTTTATCGCTGGCCTGGTTGATGGCTATCTGCCGATCCATTTTCATAAGCTCGGCAGTCCCTCGCCGCCATCTGCCGCACAAAATCGCCACTTCTTCTCACCCTCTTCCGAATTTCTCCTTATTTACAGCGTTGCCACTCCGCCGTAGACGCTCGCTAGCTTCGTTCTCTACGCTATCGTCGTCGTCTTCCATGGACAATCCGCCCGAGGGTTACCGTAGAAACGTTGGCATTTGTCTCATGAACCCTACTGCCAAAAAGGTGATTTTTTTATGCGATTTATTGATTAGTGTTCTGATTCTTGCATTACTGTTTTTTTTTCTTTTAGGTTTGGATCTTATATTGTTCATTGAGTTGAGTGAGTGAGTTAGTCTGTTGGTTTTGCAGATTTTTGCTGCTTCGAGGCTTGACATGCCAAATGCCTGGCAAATGCCTCAGGTAAATTCCTGAAATTTTCTAGTTTTTTGTGCTCAATTTGTAGGTCGTATTTGTGCTTTCTATGAATCTGTCCAGTTTTGATCTGCTTACTTTTCTTTTTAGTGCATTCTATTTACGAAATCATAGAATTGCCTACAACTCATATCTTTCCTTGAAATGAAATGAGAAGAAAATCCAGCTTTTGGAACTTGTAATTCTAAGAAAAGTTCTCCATTTGATCTCGTAAGCTGTTTTATGGAATGCAGTTCGTATTTCTAATTTATTTTATGCTACATAAAGGAGATCACAGTTAGATATGCCCATTTTGGAGTGACTTTGAAACTAATTTTCATTTTTCAGGCTCTACTAACTACTGCTAGTCTGCAATATCACTTGATGTCACTGACATTTGTTCTAACAGCAAAAATTCAGAATGAAATTAAAATTTGTGAGTGTGGAGCTATAATACTCTACATTGCATAATGGCAAATATGGATCTCACACTAGAGATGGATGCTTTGAGCAAGGTAGTTAAAATCAAGGTTTAAGTTGTAAGATTGTACTTCTTCCAGGGTTCAAAAGGGCTAGTTTGGGTATTGAGATGGTTTCTTTCAATGATGCAAAGCGTAAGCCTTGAGGCACTTTGAGACGTAAGCCTTGAAATATACAAATAAATTAAATTTGAATAGGTTACTTGTGCCCATTCGTGATTTGTCCATGTCATTCAATTACGAGGACACCAAAGCCTTGAGGCGCGCCTCCATGCTTAATATTCTACTCTTTTTGGGTAAAAAGCTTGCAGTAGCCACTCTTCTGCTCTTGACTAAGGTCACTGCCTTTATGTCCCACAAAACAGTAATCACTTTAGTGTTACATAGCGTGTTGAACATCTTACTAAAGTTGGGAAGCGAGTCCTCTAACAGGATAGTAACTAACTTAAAAGTTAAAACTACCAGTATGGGGGTAGGGTTTTGCCTTTGCCTTAGCCAGTGGTGCGAGAGTGTTGTTGCAGTTTTCTGTAGAAAACGTTACTTCTGATTATTGATTTTCTGATATTTATTTCTTGCTATGCCTGACAAATACGTATTCAACAAGGAGAAGCAGAAGTAACCTAGTGAGGATGTGCAAGAGGCTTGAGGTATGGGACATAAAGAGGGGTAGATATAGACCTAAGAAGAGTCGGAAGGAGGTGATTAGACATGACTTACAACCTCAAGATCATACTGAGGATATGACCATAGATAAGAGCACATGGAGACTCTTAGGGTTGTAGGGTAGGCTTATGTGCCTTAGTTTGTTGTTTTTGCATGTGTGCTTGTTTCTTTCGTGCAACTATCTTTTTTCATTCCTTTTTCTTTTACATGTTTTTAGTGTTCCTTTTGTTTTGAGCCAAGGGTCTCTTGGAAACAAGCTTTACACACTCCCCAGACCCCACTACGTGGGATTTCACTGGGTTTGTTGTTGTAGTATTGACAAGTACATATTTCTGAAACAGGGTGGCGTTGATGAGAATGAAAGTCCAAGAGATGCTGCCATCCGAGAATTAAGAGAAGAAACAGGAGTCACCTCTGCAGAAATCATTGCTGAGGTTAAAAGTGGATACTAACTTTGTTAGTTGTTTGTGTTTTAGTCATTATCTTTGTTTCTTTACAAGAAAATGGGCCTTAATAAACTTAATCAGCCCTTTAAAATTTTCACTTCTACTTATACTCCGTATAATACTACCTCTGGCACAGGTTCATTGGCAGTCTTTCGGAATTAAAACAGTTAACATATCTTCATGATATTAGACAGTGTTTTATTATTCATATTGGTGTTTAATATTTATTTCTAAGAGCTATATTGAAGGAGAGCCTTGATGCACCGGTTAAGGTGTTGCATTGTGACTTTTATGCTTATGGGTTTGAGTCGAAGAAGTGGCATCTGCCAGAAAAATGCAAGGGTTGACCTTTCTCCAAGCTCTTGCAAAGGGTGCTTTGTGATAAATTTAGTCAAACAAAACAAACTACAAAATATGAGTAGGATTCCATGATTTTTAAGAGTTGTACCTTGCCAGTTTTACCTTGATCAGGCATGACTCTTTTTAGAACTTCTTTAGGGACAGAGGGAGTAAACTTATTGTGGCTATTGAGTCCTTGGAGATTGTACATATCAACAACGAACCCAATAAAATCTGAACATGGTTGGTGTTTTTGAGTCAAGATACAGAGAGGCTGTTTCTGTCAGACCCTTGATGCATTGCTGCATTTACTTCCAAAACATCATAGAAAGTGTGATGCAAAGGAAGCTTAATGTGCGCCATTTTGATTTAGGGGCTGTTTGGCAACTTCTGAATCGGTAAGTGCTGAACCAGTAAGAGGTCTGAACCATTAAGTGCTGAACCAGTAAGAGGTCTGAACCATTAAGAGCTAGTATATTGCTTAACTATTCAGAGGCAAATGTCTGATCAATTCAGATAAGAGGTCTTAACCATTCAGACTCTGTATAATACTTAACCATTCAGAGGCAAATCTCTTAACCATTCAGACATCTGAACCATTAAGAGGCTGAAACAAACAG